TCGGCGGCGATTGATAGACCGTTTAAAATCTGCTGTATGGACGAACATTTGTATTTTTAGTATTTGGTTAATTGATATAAATAGCAGTAAAAGTAAATGATTGATAATAATTCAACTGGATATATAAATATATATAAAAACGTATAAATATATAAATAAAAAGATGATTAGATACAATACTATATTTGTAGAAAATGATTGACGCACGTGGACAAATGAAAAGAGTCGCGCTACGATTACGGAGAAAATCTAATTACGATTATTATATTATTATTACCTTATTATTATCACGAAGTGGATACCACGATATAGGAATTTGCTAATTGTACCTTTTAATAATTACTGTAGACACATTATTGATCAAGCTTTTTTTCTTGTTATTAATTATTACCATAAACTTAAAACGATAATGAAAAATGTGTTATAAAAGAATATCCGACTGCCTGTTTTGTGCCGTCTCATCATACCCATCAGTTATAGTTTGGTATCATCATATCACTATACGTTTTAATCGACAGCAAATGTAAATATAATTGAACAGATTTATCAGTGTTTCAATTCATTTCATTCTATGTATATAAAGAATTTTGTTTTACATTTCGTTTTAAAAAATTACGTCAATCTCTTTCAACTTCATTGATTCAAATTATATTTTTCATATTGCTGAGCAAAATTATTAAGCTAAAGTCTTTAGTTTGTGATTTACAGTTTCTTTTAATTTATGAATGTTCGCATTTCATGTCCTCATTAGATTCGAAAAAAAAGAAATTGCAGCAGAGAGGAATTTCCTCTGACCGTGAGTCTGACCTCTCTGTGCATACTTACGTTTGCTTCAGTGTACAGTATGTATATGTATGTATATAGCGCAGTTGGCTGTGTACGATATAGATAGAACACGTGTTCGTCTGTTCGTACGAAATAATAGTAACGTTTGTACTTTAATAATTAAGAAAATCATACGAGATGGGTGTAGATAAAGAAGATACGAAAAGTAAATCAGCAACGACCGAGTTTGTTGAACCCAAAGGAAAGAAGAAACGAAGTGCAGATGACAATCGTATGGAAGTGAGTACGTAGGTTAGGAATTACAGAAATTCGCTTGCTGTATAAGTCACGTTCGATTTTCTTCGTTCGCTTTTTTTTTTATTCCTTTATTAATTATGTACGTACGTAGGTGGAAGTGATCAATGGTGTGGAAGGTAAAATAAAGTCACACGGAACTTCGAAAAGGGCTAGGACTGTCGAAGGTTGTGAACAGAGAAAGGTGAGATATTCGCATTATTTGAAGAGCTCGAACAATTCGATTTTCATTCCATTGATTTCAATGATTGAATTACTTAATTATTCGATTAATTAAAAATCCCATACTGTAATTTACACCTAGAGAACTACGAATTTGTGTTTCTGGGGCAACTGAGAATCGAGTTGACTTTTCCCTCTGTATTCTTTCAGGTGTCTGTGCCCGCGCATCGATATACGCCGTTAAAGGAGAACTGGATGAAGATATTCAGTCCCATCGTCGAGCATTTACAACTGCAAATACGATTCAATTTGAAAACGCGAAACGTAGAATTGCGAACGTCGCCCGAAACCCCCGACATAGCTAATCTGCAAAAAGGAGCAGACTTCGTTAAAGCGTTTATCTACGGTTTCGAAGTGGAGGACGCTTTGGCTCTGTTACGGTTAGACAATTTATTCGTGGAAACGTTCGAGATCCAAGACGTCAAGCGTTTGAAAGGTGATCACCTTTCGAGAGCGATCGGCAGATTAGCTGGAAAAGGTGGAAGGACGAAGTTTACTATAGAAAACGTAACTAAAACGAGGGTCGTGTTGGCGGATAGCAAAGTCCATATACTCGGTTCGTTCGAAAATATACAGCTGGCGAGAAGGGCTATATGTAATCTAATTTTGGGTAGCCCCCCGTCGAAAGTATACGGACAATTAAGAAACGTAGCGAGTAGAGTCTCCGAACGATTTTAAAATAAAAATTACTTTATTTTTTTTATACAGTTTCACTTAGAGTAGTATTTGGTATTTATATTTCCTCGGCACTTTATTCAATACCAATCTCCCGTCGTAACTCAACGAAGCGAACGTCCAAGGGTCGGCCGACGACCATTCGACCGCGTAAACGCTGTCCTCGTGTTCCTCGTACCTCCCAACGACTCCGTCTTCTAGTCTAAAAATCCAATCCCATTTCACGGCACGTAGCTTTTACAAAATATATTTTATGTTAATATTCGGTATAATTACTTATCCTTCTTGCAACCGTAATCGTTTTGCGCGGAATCATCATCGGCGGAGACTATGTGCCCGAAAGGTTCCGAGGAAATCGACGCGATGCTACATAAAATTACTCTCGAGTCGCTGCTCGAAGTTAAAACTAATTGATCGTGGAAACGATTGATTCTGATGCTCCACACCCAATGGGAGTGTTCCATGCGAGATAATACAGGTTCTGTGGGCGATCGAATGTCCCAGAACTTCATATATCCATCGTCTCCACACGTGGACAAGATGTATTGTCGGTTTGCGTTAAAATCTAAGTCCCTGCGCATATTGTTAAGTCTGTTATTCGTATCGAATCAATAAAAATGTACGAACAAGTCGATACCTAATTATTTGAGAATGGCCAGACAGTATCGTCCAGGACGGTTCGGTAGGATTTCGGAAATCCCATCCGCGAACATTGTTCTCATTTAATGTAACGAACTGATTGCAACCATTGTGTGGGTTCCATTTACCGTTTGTGAAACGTGGCTGGCCTTTACTAGCTAACGTTCCGGACGTAGTGGTAGCCTGTGTAAAGTAGTAGATGAGTAAAACAGGTGGCGAAGAATTCCAAGACTTCGTGTTACCTTTGGGCCGTTATCGGTTAGGTCCCATAGTATAAATTTATTGTCGACTACGGAAACGGCTTTCGTCGAATCCATGGGATGATACGCGATCGTTTTAAGGTCTGTGCCATAAGGAGTAGTATCGATGTCTGCTAATTTCGTAAGATTCTCGACGTTGTTCGTATATTCCTTTAACTGTGGCAATTGCCAAAGTGCTCCCTTCATGTGGCAAGAACCATCGTCTGAGTGTAAGAGCGTGACGTTCAATCTTACAGTAATTTAGTCGCTCTTAAAATAGTTTTGTTATAATTTTGTTTGGAATAGTTACCACTTAAAGTATTGTAACATGTAATAAATATACTAGGGTCTGTCGGAGAAGCTTGTAAAGACCAAACTTCTCCGACGGGATGATTAAACATCTGAGTCCTTAAACTTCCCGTTTCCTCGTTCAGTTCGACCAAGTGAACTTGATTGTTACTGAATTTCAATGATTGCGTGCCGACCAAAAATCGAACTATGTCCGTCTCTGCGGTCTGAGCCGACAGTGCTCTCGTCTACAAATGTCAGTAAAAATATTAATTAAAAACGTGTTTCGACCAGCACTTCGCGGTCTCCAGATTCTTTGGAAGTACATCGCGTTAAATGAATAAGATTTGACGTAGAGGCGTTTAATTAGAATATCTCGTGTTTGCGTACTTGAAATTCGAGGCCGTATATTACGGGGCTATCATTCTCCATTTTTTTCAGGTATTTCGTATATTCCGACAAGTAGATCTTTGTTTACAGCAGACTTTGAAGACAAACATATGATTTGTCAAAGCTGTATAGCAAATGTATGTACACCATGTACACACTGTATATATG